CAATACTTCTATATTATGAGGATTTGGCTTGATTCTAATACAGATAATCCATCAGATTTAAATTGTTTCAGTTTCAATTTATTATATAAAATGAGCTACATTAAATGAAGCTACTATTTATGTTAAGAAACTGTGCAGATCTTTTCCATCGTAGAACAAAACAAAATAAAAAATATCCTTTTTTTTCCTGGATGTGATGTTAAAACAATTTGTTTTCCTTCTCAATGCTCTACAGAAATAGGGGAACAAATCCTAGACTGGAATAATCAGTCAACAAATGTTGAAATATCTGCAGTTTATGTACTTTGCATTCTTTTAAACTGTAGTTTCTTTATGTTTAAATATACGGATGCATTTCGAATGCCACAAAATAACCCTATTTAGCTTGTTTTATTTTTTATTCTACTATTTTCAACATCTTAACTGTAGTTTCTTTGTTCTCATGTTGCAGTTGTGCTCTTGATCTACTGTTCCCAATTTCTTATCTCTTGTTTTTAATTTTTTTTTAAACCTTTTTGTTTCTGCATGCTTCTACTTGTGTTTTATTTTGCTGCTGGGAAACCTACATTTTCCCACAGAGGGATAATAAAGGTTCTTTCTATTTTATTGGATTATATTCATTGACTTGTTGATTGTTGACTGAATAAATCATAAAATCTTCAGCAGATTCTAGTGGATGGCCACTGTGGATTCTTGTCATCCTGTGTGTTCTTTTAGAATACGCTTTATAAAAAGTAAAATTCAACCACCCATCCTTGGCAAGCATGAGGCAACAGTAGAAAGAAATGATTCCAGGCGGACAGAATGTCCCACAGCAGCCTAAGCAGACAGCTTATGGAGAGCAAAGTTTTTACCCCCTTTTTAAACAGCAGACAGAGCGTCTGCATTCCTGATAAAACTAAGACCTGGATCCAAACAAAAGCAGCTCAGAAATTCCGCTTTTAGGAAGCTAACCTGAAACCTGAGAGCAGAGTGAGCTCCAGAGAGCTACTGAGATAAATAAGACATAGGGCATTGAGAAGATTCTTGTATTTTATTCTATTAATCAACGGTTGAAAAACAGAAAACAGGTTATCGATCACAAATTGGCATAATCTATAAATCCACTTTTAAGCAGAGGTGGAAAGAGTACTAAAAAATTGTAATTGAGTAAATGTATCTTTACTTTACCTAAATTCTACTCAGAGTAAAAGTAAAATTACCCATCTCAAAATTTACTCAAGTAAAAGTACAAAATCACTTCATTTAAAATGTAATTTGAGTAAAAGTTACTTAGTTACTTTGAGTTATTTGATGCAAAAAAAAGGATGAGTCATGAGTCGAATTGAGCACAAGGTGTTTTAATCGATTTCAAGGCGTATTTCAGTGACATCCACACCTGCAAAAGATCAGCTGGTCTAAGGAACATCCTTCCTCACAGCACAAGGACAGTCACAACCTGAACCATAAAGTGAAAAACTATTTTCAATCCTACTCTCCACCATGATAACTAACTTACCGCCACATTTTTTCATAAATTGGATGTTTTAAAAGCCGAGAGCTCCGTTTTGCTGGGCAGACACATGTTGCACTGCATTATCACATTGTTCCCTTTTGTGCATTTGAAAACAAATATCCTTCCAAATATGGCCAAGCGTTTTTCTGGCTTTCGTCTCCAGAATATGTTTCCTCTTCAGGCCTTTCCTCATCCATACTCCCTAAGTTGTGATTAGCAACTGCCATCTTCCGAAGCGCAGCACTGGATTATGAGACAATATAAAAAGTAAATGCAAGGCAGGGCCACATTTAATTTTTTTCACCATCAGTATTATTATTATTTTATTTTTTTTTAACTCAGTAACGTGAGGGGGTTTTAAATGTAGCAAAGTAAAACTACTTAGGTTAAAATTTACTCAAATAAAAGTAAAAATTACATATTTTCAAAAACTTCTCAGAAAATTACAAATTACTCATAAAAAGTACTCAATTACAGTAACTTGAGTAAATGTAATTCATTACTTTCCACCCCTGCTTTTAAGTTACACTAACATAAAAACATATTTGACTTGTGCAACTAAAATATACTTCAATGAAATGGTTAAAAAGAAAATGTTAAAAAGAACAACCCTGACCCTCTGCTTGCTGCTGCTGCACACTGCTGGCCAGCTTGCTACAAGAAGGCTATTTTTCCTTATCCTACGTCGCAGCCGAAGGTAACGCTGCTTTAAAACGTCTGTTAAGAACCTGAATAGTATATCAGAGAAGAAAGTCTGACCTATTAATCTTCTAATGTCAGATCTGAGATTTATTTTTTTTTATTGCAGAGACAATCCATATTAGTAACATTGCTGTGTGTTTGCCCGCATTAGCTGAGTGGGTTATGATAACATTTTGCATAAACAACAGAAAATGAATTGATTTTCTGCACAAATCACAAAGATATTCTGTATCTATGAAATATCTTTTACTGTAAATGTTATTATGCTTTAGGAAGAGTTGTAAGGTGAAAACTCAAGCACATTTTTTACTGAAGGTTGATGCACCTGCTGATGTCTACGACAGATTTAATTATTTATTTGCATTAAAAAAGAAAAAAAGTATAATTTATTAATTTACTCCATATTCATCCGACTTTCTCCAGAGATTATTTTAAAGTGCATCCTTTACATTTACCAGATAATTGGTATGAATAATGTTTAATTTGAGAAGCATAATTCGGTGTAATTCCTGCAGGGATTATTAATCCACAGAGCAGCAGAAACCCAGAATGAATGAATCCAAACAGCATCTTCACTATGAATCCACCTGAAATGATGTGACCTTCCTCTGCCTGGGTCATGCAGTCCTAGTTCTGCTGGTAGATCTTGGTCCACCTGCAGAGGAAAACACAGCCAGTGGGGCGTGGGGTGACAAGCAGGCGAGCAAAGCGGAAAGGAGGCTGATAGGAGCAGATTAGGCAGCGCTAAAAACGTTGGTAAGTTTTCCTGGAGGAATTTTAATTGCCCCGGGGGGCCCTGCTTATCGGCCCAGTGTGGGTATTAATGCGACAGGCGAGATAAGGAGGACAGCAGGCTGCAGGGCTGCTGCAGAGCTGGACAGACACTTCAGCTGCAGCTCAGAGACTTTCGGCTAGTTTAAAGTCAGTAAATATATTTATTCACCTTTAATGTGTTCTTCTTTGGCAAATAACTGCAAGAAAAGACTGCTGCTGAGATTTCAATCAGAGTAGAGATTAAACGTGCTGCAAACAAAATTATTGTTTTATTTACTTTAAGAAATCTGAATGGAAATATTTGCTTTAAAAAACTGAAGATATTTCAAATTCATTAAAAGTTAATTCTTTGAAAAGACAAACAGACTATGTTCTTATATCACGGGTCAAACACAGAATGTGACAAACATTACAGCTGCAGTTTATGCTGCAAACAGTTACGTTTAAAATGTAAACTTTTCAAAGCAGCAACCAAAAAAAAGGAGGGGGCTAAAAATAAAAAGAAATCCCCATATTCCTGATTTTATTATTTTTATTCGTGCAAAGAAGGTTTTCTTTATTGAGTTCAAGCAGCAGTGTATCACTGCTGCACGTTATATTTATCTTCATTTCATCGTTGCAAGCTGTATGCAACCTCATTTTGTAAACATTATCTATACAAAATGACAATAAACTTTGTTTAAGTCTGTGTAGGAAGCTCCAGGGCCGGGTCCAGCCTCCATGGGGCCCTGAGCTAAGTTCAAATGGGGGCCTTAACATCTATTCCTGCAATCAACAGTGATAATCAGATTATTTATACACCTGCTAGAAACTGAATTCAGCTCTGGCAGGGCTGGTTACTCTCCTCTATTCCTATGCATCACCCACTGTTACAAAAAGTAAAAAAATTAAATTAAAAAAACATGCAGATTTACAGAAAAGTTGTCATGTGGTTTATAAGTTTTAGCTTCATCTGCAAAAACAATTTGTAAAAATAAAGTGCAAAAAAACAAAAAAGCTTTGATAAATGCACTGACTAAACTGTCCAAAATTGACAAAATTAAACAAAAATAAACAGGAAAATATTAAACATATCTTGTTTTCTAAATATAAGTTTGTCTAAAAGACGTTTGTCCCAGTCCTTCTTTTTCTGTGTTTTAGTCTGTATCCTCAAGCGCATTGATTTTAATGTATGTTAGTAGTTATTTATATGATTGAATATAGTTAGAAAATAAGAAATGCATTTTTTATCATTGTATCCTGTGTTTATTGGAATATTTATATAGAAATCATTTCCAAAAACCCAAACAATTAACTGTTGCAGATTACACTAAGGTTAAAAGTGGGTCCTAATCCTCCAATAAAACACTTTAAATCATGGCATCTCTATCCAGGTCATCATTTAGTGCAAACACCAAACCCAGACCTTGCACTCAGACTCAAACTCACCAAAAGCAGTTTTTATGCAACATCTGTCCTTGCAGTCTGATAGATTGTATGTCTTTTTTTCTGCTATAAGATATCAAAAGATAAGACAAGATGAAGGAATCTGTTTTGGAACGTTCCAGTGAGCGCAGCCTGTTTGTGTTTCCGCATGGCTGTTTTTCAGCTTCAGTTTAGTTTTGCCAAAATCTGATACAGGATTAAACATCAGCGGCTCTTCCACAAGTTTCCCATCATGCGCATGAAAAAAGAGAGTGAGAGGCAATAGATTAAAAAGCAACGAGCTTGGGAAAACTTGGCCTTGACAAAGCTGCTGGAAGTGGCGCTCCTCTCAATGAGACCCAATGATTTATGCAGGAACAGAAACTGGAGTTTTGTTGCTCAACGTGAAGAATAATAAATGTAGCCTTGGTGGAAGTATGGAAAGAGAAGAAAGTTTGTGTTTTCCTGGAGCAAAATCAGTGCGTAAAGTGTGTCCAAAGAATGCGCACAGCAGCAGCATTAGTAACCATGTCCAGCAGATTATTCCAAGGGGAAATAAACGGGGAGCGCGCAGTTACGTCACGTACTCCCCACCTTCCCAGAGATTTTACGCACACCCCTCCCCCTCGCCCCAAAAAGAGGCAGAGAAGCCTCCGACAGTCCGGTCCGAAGTCCCCTCACTAAACCCGACATTAGATCTGTCAGAGCGGAAGGGCTGCATGGACGAACCCGGCGATAATAGCCGTGTTTTGATGCGATTTATGGCCATGAAGGATTCCAGAAGCTTAGCGGACCTCCAATTACCCAAGCTCCTGAGCTGGATTGTTTGTTAGAGAAACAGCGGGGACAGGAGAAGGGGTGTGCATGTTACTCGGCGGGCTTCATTTCGTCGATGCCGGAGAGCTGGAGCTGGATGACATGATGCTGCAGAGCCCGCTCACCTCCACGCCGTTTTCCGTCAAGGATATCCTCAAGCTGGAGCAGCAGCAGCAGCAGTCGGGCTCCCTGGAGCTCCAGCACCGGGTCCACAGTCAGCAGCACTTGACTCGCTCTCCTTCCCAGCAGGAGCAGCAGCTGCAGCAGCAGCATTTCCAAAGCCCACCGTCCTGCATGCTGGCCGGGCCTCGGGACAGCCCGTCCTTCTCGGACGGAGAGGACAACCTGGCTTATCTCAGCGCGCTGGCGGTGCGCGAAGAGGAGCGCGCAGATCCGAGCCTCTCCCCGAGCATGTACGTCCATCCTGGGCTGCAGGGAGCCAAGCTGGAGGCCGCAGAGCTGGAGGCGCAGGAGAGCAGTGAGTTCAAACACATTTACACAGAATTGGGAAGGAAATGAGCTGCAGAAAATCATTTTTAGGAGTTTTATTATTTGACTCTGAGGAGAACAGTTATCAGGCACATTTTCTCCAGATTTGCGTAACGATTGATGTTTGTCAAGACATTTTAAATAAAACTGTAAGCTGTAACTCAGGTGAGCTGTTTGCAGAACAAAATCCATAATTAATGTGAAATGTTTTCTAAGATTTTAAATCCAAAACTTCTTCAGATTCTTTGAAAATGTGTTTATTGTTATTACTATTAAAAATTACGTGGGTATTTAAGAGTGAATAAAACAAATTAATGAAAAGAAGGGATTCATAATCAAACTCTAGTCAATAAAACACATGAAAAGGTTTTTTTTTTTGTTTCCCACTTTATCTGAGGGAGCAGCGGGCTCTGCGCGGCCGACATCTCTCCAATAAAGAGCTATCAAATGGTGGAGGCCTGAGACAGATCCATGGAAGTGCGCTCATGTCAAACACTTTCTAGTGCTTCAGCTGCGCGCCTGTTTCTCCGGGCTCTGTTATGATGTGTGGACCATAAACCGACAATTAGTTTAAAGAGGCTTGTAAAGAAGTGACACGGAGAAGTAGCGCGGATAAACACAGTCTGCAGCGCGCAAAGATAGAAAGATAGAAAGCGTTATATTGGAAAGGTGCAGCCATCTTAAGGAAAATCCCAGATATTTATAGATTTATTCCAGAATAAACAATCGGGTTATTAAGAACAACAAACAAACAAAACAACAGAAAGTTCAGCTTATTAAAAGTTAATTTTATTTTATTTTACTCATATTATAAAAATAGGAAGCAGTGGGAAAACATTTGTATTCATAAAATACTCAAACATAATGTTGAAACTATCTGATTACAATTCTTTGGATTGTAAAACACTTTAAAATATTTCTCGGTAGAATTAGTTCAGTTTTAGCCAATTTAAAATAATATTTTTCTACATATTTGTTCAATATAATTAGGTTTGGGAAAAAAAGGTTAGAAAAAAACAAAATAAAAATCCTGAAAAATTGAGTGAAAATAACAGAATAGAACTTGATTTAATTTAATGCCTAAAATTAGGATCCATTTTTACAGTGTCCCCACTCCACATACCTCCATTGTTGACACATGACAGATGGACAAATGTGTGATTTGTGTATCTGAGGTATGGATTTGTATATAAATGACAGTTAGTTATAATATTGTAGAAAATATTCCAGTTAGTGTTGAGATGCAACATTTCTTTTTTTCAGCGCTTCTGTGACATTTTGGGCTGTTTTCTGGGTTTGTTCGGATATCTGATATGCTTACATAATTTACAGCATCACTTCTTTTATTTTACAACAAAACAAAATAGTAGCATAAACCTTTCCTTTCATTTCTAATTTTTAAACAGATGTAAATTAAGGTTTAATTAAACAGATCTAACGCGACTCTCCCTTCTCACCCAGAGAGCTGCGGGTTGGTGTCCCAGGAGGAGGCGGTGGAGGGCGGCCTAGTTGAGTCGGAGAGGCCGGTGCAGAAGCAGAGAAGCCGGCGGAGACCCCGGGTTCTCTTCTCCCAGGCGCAGGTCTTCGAGTTGGAGCGACGCTTCAAGCAGCAGCGCTACCTGTCCGCCCCGGAACGGGAGCACCTGGCCTCCACCCTGAAGCTCACCTCCAACCAGGTGAAGATCTGGTTCCAGAACCGCCGCTACAAATGCAAGCGCCAGCGGCAGGACAAGTCTCTGGAAGCGGCCGGGCAGCAGCACCACCCGCCCCCGCCGCGGCGCGTCGCCGTGCCGGTGCTGGTTAGAGACGGGAAGCCGTGTCTGGGCGGCGCACAGAGCTACGCCGCGGCTGCTGCCGCTGCGCCATACGGCTCCAACCCGTACAGCTATAACGGATACCCGGCTTACACCTACAGCAGCCCGGCTTATAACAGTAACTACAGCTGCTCTTATACCAGCATCCCCGCCCTGCCGCCGTCAGGGACCCAGAACGCCTTCATGAACATGAACTTGGGAAACGTGAGCGGCCTCGGTGGCTCCCCGCAAGCCCAAACACATCAAGGGACAGCGGTCACATCCTGTCAGGGCTCCCTGCAGGGGATCCGTGCCTGGTAGCCTCCCAGAACAAAACAAGTGTCCTTCTTTTTTAAACAAACTTTTCATTTTTTCATTTTTCTTTCCTTTTTTTATCAATTTGGTGCAAAACATCTAAGCAGCAGTGTTTTCTAGAGATCATCGACTCATCTGTAGATTAAAAACAACTGTTTAAATTGAAGCTTTATATCACTAAAAGGTGATTTTTTTATTATTATTATTAATATTTTTCTGCTCCATGAATGTTTGGGGGCAATGCGCGCACACCATGCGCTTTTCTTATCAAACCTCGGACATATTTTTAAATATTTGCTATTAAAGATTAACTTTTTTTTTTTTTTTTAGAGAGAGAAAAGAAAGTGTTTTTGGTTCAACAGAGAATTGTTAGTCTATTTACATTTATTCAAATAAAGTATTAAAGAGCCAAAACGCGTTTTGGTTGTACTTGGATGAAATCCAGTTGCTGTTTCTGAGCTCACCTTCTGCGCGGTGCTGGAAGGGAAATAAAGAGGGCTGTGTGAACATCTAAATACATAAATATTAATATAATCCACCAAAATAGGTCACCACCATGAGGTCAGAGATTTGGATGCAAGGCTGCAAATTGGGAGCTGAATTTTGCACATAAACATGTTGAGAGGGGAGCTGCTGAAGGAGGCCGGGCCACGGGGACTCTTTGTCCCGGTGCCAGGCGCCTTGAAAGGAGGAAGTGTTTCTCCATTTGAGCTCCTTAAAAGGACGCGATTAAGCACCTAAAATAGCCCCGAAGAGCGATCTGCAGCCGGGCTTGGAAAGCAGGAATAATGGCTCTTATTGGATTGTCGGACAAAAGGTGGGTGGTAGGCAGAGCCGGCCACTCAGCAAAGACAAAAGCGCACCGGGGCCGTGAGATTGACGTCCTAATATTCCCATTTGAGCGACAGGCAGCGGGTTATTCTGCGCAGAGAAGGGGACACGGAGGGAAAATGTGGTCACTTTTGTTCTCCTTCGGGAGGGTTTTTCTTTCTTTCTGCCCCTTTTTTTTTGTCAGTCGAGAAAAGCTCTGCAGAGATCCCCAGCCGAGAGGCTTGAGGGGCAGCCGGGCTGGAGGTGAAGACAGCGGGGAGGCGTTTGTCTGAAAGAAGGGGGTATTATTGCTACAAGTTTCACCATTTAGACTGATGAGGAAAATGGACGGGGACATTTTTGAAGAGGGGAGGAGGGTCATGTTCCTATTATTTTCTAGGAAGGTTGTTATTTCAGGCCAGAGAAAAGTTATTCTTTCTCACAGGTGAAACCAAAAAAAAAATCCAAGGCTTCTAAAATAATCCTCAGAAAATAGAACATCATCAAATGCCTTCAAAGTTGAGTTCTGGAAACACAAATTTAAAATTGGTTGCAGTAAACATTTCAGTTCATTAAAACAACTGATAAAAAGTTTCCTCTCTAAAGAAAATCCGTTTATATTTCCTTTAGAGAGAATTTTGCAGCAATTCCCTATATGCTAAATTAAAAAATATTTTTTATGCCAAGTAATAGACCCATTATGCAAAATGTTCAGAAGTCATACGTAATCTACAAAAATATATTGTTTTTACTCAAGAAAAATTCAGATTTTATTCTTCCTTCTATTTAGAGAACTGAGAAAACTGAGGGTGTGGGAAAGCTGCAATATAATTTAATCCTAAAAAGAAAATGACAGCACTGAAAAAAATAATGCAATCGCTTTTGGCATTTACTTAATCATATTTAGTTACTTTAACACATTTGTTTTATGTCCTACCCTCCTTACATTAAACAATTGTGGTAAAGTAACTAAATATGATTAAGTAAATGCCAAAAACAGTTTCATTACTTGTAACTCAAACTGTTACAATTACTTGGATAATTATTGATTTAATTACATATTTTACATTTATTTGAACAACTAATAGATGCATACCTTTA